TGAGATTTCAGAAACAGGTCTAGAGCTGATCTCCCCTACGTGTCTGGTCTTGCAAATGCTTGCAAATACCTGTCGCCTGATTCCCTCTCATCAATCAAATATGCTCAAAGGAGTTAAAATGTCACTTGAAGTAAGAAATATGCATACAACAAATACTTGGAAGGAAGGCTAAATGGTCACAAGATAGGTCAGCAATGTTCATACCAGAGAAACCTACAAGTCCAGAAGCAGGATACAATGAGTGAAATAGGAAACAATTCTGCAGGTCTTGGCAGATCTTTCCTTTGCAATAATTATCTAAAACTGTTTGGAGGCTTTCCCTGGAGCCTTTCTCTCCTCTGACCCAATGACAAAAGAATCCATGTTACAAACTTTGCTGTGGGATATGTCACGGAAATGCAAAGTGAAACATCATTAGCTCGCAGCCTTGTAAAATCCTGCCTAATGTTAATCCTACAATACTTGTTCAAAGGCTGAAAGCACTCTGAATAGTTGAAGTGTGACCATTTCAGGCATTCCTCTGGCATAAGTGCATTTTCACAGACAGAAAAAAGGGCTCCATTGGACTGTGCCTCCAAAGTGTGTTGCCACTGCAGAAACGACCACACTCCACAACAGTGTGAATCAATGGAAGAGCACACATTTTGGTGAGGGAAGGAGGGGGATGTGCGGATCTGGCCTCCCACAGAGGAAGCCCAATCACTTGCACAGAAGCACTGTGGATGCCCCCCTCCTTGCTCTTCCTCACAGGGAACCTCCAGATAACAGGGGTGGTCCTATTGCGTCAGTTGCTGACAGCTTTTTGTGTCACTGCTACCAAATCTGTCCTAACACATTTTTCAAGGGTAAATCTAAACGTTTCCTGACAGCATGTTGTTGGTGTGCCAAGGGCTAATGTCTCCTTATCCTGAGGAAGCAGTTCAGTTTCAAGGGGCAGCCCAGATGGCCAGATTGCTCCGGCCCTCAGCTCTCTCCTGATTAACACCCCTCCAGCCAAAGGAGCAAGTTTACAGCTTATTACAGGAATGTTCAGAGGTACCATTCATAAAAGTATTTGCAGTGCATGAGTTGGTCTTTTATACTGATTCATGTTACTGCGTTGCTCTGGTAACTGAATGTCCCAGGTAGAGATCAGGTTTTACTGCATTAGATTTTGTTATTCCAGACTATTTTTTTGCAGTCTTTTAGCCTCATTCACTGCTTTATCCTGTCCAGCTTCAGCCAACAGACAGTTTGCTAAAGATTTCAGTCACAATAAGAACAGGCCAAATCACCACTACAAATCAAATCTGCGGTGTCTCAAAAAAAGCATGTCCTTGTGCCTCCAGGATTCCTGTGCAGAGCTGGTGGGTTTGGACCAAAAGGTCAAACAGGCTGCTTAGGAAACTGTCTTAGGTGATGCTGACAAAGTCAGTGCTCATCTCTGCTGGGGTGAGCCTGGCCCAGCTGGGGTGAATTCAGTGACGGGCCCTGGCCATGCGGTCACACACACACTTTGCCCCTGCCCTGCTGTATCTGCTTACTGAGGCGTCAGCCTGGCAGCATCGTCCCGGTGAGCGGCACGTGCCAAGAGCCGCTGGGCATGCGACACACCCGGCGCCCCTCAGCCATCCCCGGGTTTCTTTTGCTTGGGTGGCGTGGATTTAAGCTCCTGGGGAGCGGTGAATGCTGTTCCAAGGGTATGTGAAGAATAAAGCCAATTCCGCCCAGGGTGGGAAGTGAGAGTAAAGCTTGGGGCTTTCCCCAGCTCACTCTTAAATTTCCACCCTGGACTATATTTATGAGAAAATTAAGTAGAGGCTACACATTGCCCAATACAACGAATATCAGGGATAAGATATTCCAGCCTCTTGATTTCACAGATTCATCCAAATGTGAGCAGTAGCTCTGCACAGACAAAATAGGAAGTGAACGTAATGGATATCCAGAAGGGGACCATCAGGTGTCGATAGCTTGGTGGTGAGGGAAGTGCTCGTTTCAGGTTGCAGGATCAGAAGGTGCTGCTGCTGTCACTGCTTCCAAAACAGCACATTCAGGCTCCATGGGCCTCAGCAGACCAGCACCCCGCAGCAGCACCACCCTTTGCTTGTCAGCTGGAAGCCACCAGGACTCCTTGGGGATGAAGGGCACTTGGTCTTTTGTGGGAGCAGGAGCCTCATTGTCACCCAGGCTCACTTAGCACCCTTCTGGGAGGAACTTTACACCTTTGGCTGACTTAGTGCTGCAATGCGTAGCCCTTAAAGACATTAGTCACGGTACACTGCACTGGTGCGAACACAATCCCATAGGTGTCTTTTTCTTATACTGATTAAGCTGACTTATCTCAAGCTATACTAAGGTGAATTTTGTGGCACAATACAGCTTGTTTATTTAAATGCTTTTATGGTGTGCTCTCTTCGTTACCTCAGAGCATTGCAAAGGACTTAATGCCTTCATCAGTCAAAAAATAAATGCACTTTAATAGAATTATGTGCTAGCACAGAAAAACTTGAGTAAGGCATGCAAGGAAGCTAGAACGTATTACTGTAACACAGGCAGTGGTACACCATTAATCCTTGTGGCAGCTTTTCAGCAATCTTCCTTTTTCTTGGTTGTCATAATCAGGTCCGTTTGATTTTCACAGTTGTTCCTACTTGATGTTTTCACTTGTGTTTTACTGAAATAATTTTCCGAAGGAGTTACACAAACAGAAGCAGGGCGAAGTCATTTATGTTGGAGAAGAACTTGAAAAAACCCCAGTAGATCCAGGTGCTCGCTCTCTGTCACCCTTATGCACACCTGCAAAAGCCTCCAACAGATTGAACCCACAGCTCTGCAGCTCGGTCCCACCCTCAATCTGAGAAATTACAACATATAGCTCAGGACACTTGTTAGTGTGGGTTTGGGATTGCACATTAAGAAGGTATCAGTTACCTGAGGGAATTGTTGGCCTCTTTGTAATTCTTTTTGTAAACTTATGAACAGAAAGAAGCATTTTGCTAGCTTTGCTTAATAAGGTAATAGGAATAGGTACTGCTGATGAGGATAGCAGGAATATCTGACTAAATGTTGATTTATCTGCTTTTTAATTAGCACAGAAGTGGAGATTGATTTTGAATACTGAGCTCCTCATTCCCATGCTCATGGAGGAGCTCCCATTTTGCTTACGGGACTGATATTATTAGGAAAAGAAGCTTTTCTGACAAAAGGGAGATTCTTGTTCATAAAGGTGGACGTCTAAGACTAAGCTGAAGTATTACATTTTAGCTGTTGTGCTCATCTGCAGTTTGTGCTCACTCTTCTGCATTTTCAATTAACAATTTTTCTTTCAGTTCCAAGCTAGGAGACTAAAACCAAACAACCTCTCCTTTTTTTCAGGGGTAAATTGCTTGTGATATCTCAAAACCTATTAAATACAGAAAGTTAGCCGTAAATGTGGCACCTGTTTTGGAATGGAATCAATAAAGGTCTTGAAATGATTTCATTGTGTTTCTTACAAAGGTATTGCAATAGAGTTAAGATCTGGACTTCTGTTACGTCATTTAACAGGCTAATGGCAGCAAAAGTACACATGCCAACCAGGTATAAGATAATTTCACTGGGCCAAGTAATTAGTTATTCATTTCACATGTTGCTGGATACATATATTGGTTATGTGAAAGGGTGGACTGAATGCAGCTGACTGCAGCAGAGGTGGTACTCTGTATTTAAAGCAATTCAGCTTTTGAATGTGCTGGGGACATGGATTTGGAATTTAGAGGAAGTGTGAGGAACTGCAAATGTTTATAGTGCTGCTTTTACTAGAAAGTCCAAGGCATGCAAATGTTAAATAAGAAACTATACCTGTGGCCACACATGCTGCAAAACCCCAACAGGTAATAGTTACTAACATAATTTAATGAAGGTACTTTGTAATTTAAGTCAAGTAACGTTTAAATTACATAATGAGTTCAACTGGAATCCTAATTCCTGTTCTAATGCTTTTTGTTGTTCCCTGTAGAATCTGACTTTATCTTCTTCAGACCTTTGCCTCTGCTGGCTATTAAATAATTCAGTTGCCACTGCTGACGTCATTTGCAAAGCTGAATACTACTCTGCTTGAGAAATAATGAAACTGGTGCCGTAAGTTTATGGCCAAACCAAGGTGGTTTATTTTTTCATGGCCATATGTCTAATAATTCTTTATCAGATATACAGGTGAAATAAAACAGCAATTACCACATAATTTCTTATAAAACACCAGTAGCATAGCACTGATACAACAGCGTTTCATTTCAAAGTGCTTTCTTTATTAGTTTAATTTTAATCAGGCATATATCAGCTAAATTAGAAAAAGAAACCATTTTTATTAGCCACATCAACAATAACCCATTAGTAATTGCCTTCAACAGCAGCAATTTCATTGAAAAAGAACAACAGACATCTCATACAGTTGTGCAAACTCCTTGTGAAAAGCTGAGTACTGATTAATTTCACTCTGAAAAATTACTTTGCTTATTACCACAATTTACATAGTACATCAGAAGGAATGTGAAGATTCATTAAAAATTTTCAATTGCATTTCACTGTTAAAATTAATGAATTAAAACAGATTAGTTGCCTACCACAAAAAGAATATAGATTAATTCCAGTAAAAGCACCAGCCAAATGCCATAGTGAATTACAGCGGCTTCTGGCAGGACAGGAATATTGCAACTGAGAACACATAGATTCACAGAATCATAGAATGGTTTGGGTTGGAAGGGACCTTAGAGATCATCTAGTTCCAACCCCCCTGACATGGGTGGGGACACCTTCCACTAGACGAGGTTGATCAAGACCCCATCCAAACAGCCGATAACTGTCTACATGGTGGAACACCAACAATACAAAATATCTTATGGGATCCCATTAACTTATGTCCAGGACCATGCTTGCAGCTCCCATATCTCAACAGCCTCCTTCAGCTGCATTATTCTTAACTGTTCAAAGGGCAGATGAGACACTGCTAAGATTTTAATTTAACTAGCCTATTACCGTGATCAGTCTGTGATGACGTTCATCTTAGTCTTTACTGAATCCAAGGCCTTCAAGACAGCCTTCAGGTTTCCCTTGCATAAGCCAATCTGTAAATAAGAAAATTTAAAATCCTAACAATGTAACAATAGTTTTATTCTAACAGAATTGAGAATAAATGTTGATTACATTAGCTTTGCAAACCCACTGAGACAAAATTTAGGACTTTGAGGAAATAACAGGAAGTTTTGCTTCTGCTTTGCAGAGTAATGGTAAACAGTAGTGCAAAAACAATCTGTCATTCAGAAGTATATAATTGCCTTGATCATCTGTTCTTATCTTTGAAATTCACTTTAAAAGCATTCAGAGAAATGGTTTTGCTGGTATTCTTTTTTTGAAATTTTACTATGAGTAATTATATTTTAGCAGTATATAATACCCGGTTTTGAAAGGCTAGATATGTCATGTACATGGGTTCGAGACTTCTTGCAGTTCTGATTTAGAATTTTATGTTCCAATTGATAGACAATAATAGCACATGTGACTTAAAATGACTTTATGTGAAAGTTCACATTGCTCTAGGTGGAGAGGAGAGCAAACACAAAAGGTGGAAGCATTGAATGTTGCAAAGATGGACGAAACACCACAAGCTCATCGAATGGGTACTTGGGTTAAAACATCCATGTAGAAGCTTGGGCAAAGTTGTCAATATGGGCTAAATCAAGATAAGAGACAGTCCACTGATTTAACTCAAAGGCCTGTTTTTCCTAGACCTCATCACTGACTGCAGTATAGCTAGGGAAAGGTAGGAGCAATGTGTTTTCAGTATGTCAGTAACTGACCTTCAGGAAAAGTGATAACTGCCAAGCCATCCAGCTTGCTGGAAGCCTCAGCTACATTTGAATACTTGTCTGCATTCCAGAGAATGAGATAAAGCTAAAAAGCAATTTATAGGATCATTTTTTCTGGTTCTATTACACAGAAATGCCACAATTAGAGTAATACAGAAACACCACTCTGCACTCTTAGGGTCTGACTGTGAAACCGAGACCATGCTTGTGAACGAACGCCTGAAGATTTATGGTGTTCAGCTGAATTGCCCTGGCATTGTCAGGACTCGCACCCAGGCTTCACCTTGGGGTATGCAGAACTGCACATAATCCTAAAAGCAATTTAGGGGTAAGTACACAGAGATACGGAAAAACACAGCTTAAAATGGACATGTATTTTTCTAACTCTGTTGCTAACAGTTTCCTGTGCATGCCTTTAATTCCATCTCTTTAAAAACGTAATGCATTAAATAGAATTTTGAGGAGTGTTTTTGCACTTTTTTACACATGGTGCAATATTTGTTCACAATAGTCTCATTTACTGCAAAAGACTGATGATATGCCATGAACATCATGGCTATGGATGGTTTGTATTCAAAATAGATCTTTCAGCAAGTATTTGACAGTATTTGCTTTAATAGAGTTTTAAGGAACTTTGTTCAGCCTAGTATGCTGCATATTATGTCTTGAACTAATTATTTTTTTTGTGAAATATAAAATTCCAAAACTCACAGAACATGGAAATCATAATGGTTTCTTTAAATGCCTTGTCATTTATGAATATGCTTAGCAATTCCTTAGCAACTATGTAATTCTACGGGAATAGTCTAGTCCTGGATTATTTGTATAGTGTTTCAGCAACATGGCCACAAAAATATCAAAACATCTTAAAATACAGGGAGAAGATTCTAAAATACAGAAACAGAACATGGAAATAATCATACAATGCACATAACCTTAAAATTCTGATTTAAATCAGTTTCTTTTTTAAATTTCTGTTATTTTTTTAAAGCTGAATTGCTGCCTTTTCAACTTGACATCTTTACTGTTTCAACATATTTTCAACTATTGATCCAAAGCAAACTAATAAACACTTAATCATGTGGTGCTTAAACACAGCTTAAGTGCACTATCTCTTTACAGCAGAAAGCAATTCTAAAGGGACACCCCTTTCTTATCTTGGCTGCATCAAATGAGATAGCTTTAGCACTCTCAACAGCAGAAAATTTCCTATTAGGAACACACTTCTGGCTGTGTGCTCCTAATGCCTAAATTAAAAATGTATAATCCATCTCATTAGTTTGTCATGTTGTAACGTTCCTAAAAGCTAGGAAGCTGCCAAAGATAACAGTACATGGATTGCACATGAATTGTTTGTTGGCATGTTGATGACTATTAGCAGGACCCTAAGGCAGTGGAATACAAATAAAATCTGTTACTTTAGAGGTGGGTTATAATTCTTGTAAACCAGACCTTGCTTCATTATCTGAAGACATTTAATGTACTTGACAGCTGCTGGGGCTCTCACTAGGTAACTTTTTTACCTATTTTTCTTTGTTACTTTCTTCTGTATTTCTTTCTTATTTGCTAGTCTTGAAAATCCAGGAGAAAAACACACCTTAAAATGATCAGCATGCTTGTAGCTTGTAGCTCCAACTACAAATACAGTAAGGCACTGGGTGATCAAACTCTCTAAAAAGCAGATGATTTAGTTTTAAGATGAATGTACTTTTACAGCTGACATTTTAACATTTAGCAGGTGCTATTTACTTTTGTACCTGCAACTTTCAGATCTATTTTATTATTTAAGTATGATTTCAAGTATCTCAATTTAGAATAAAAAGTACTGATCGCAAACCCCAATTTGCTCCTTCAAAGTCAACTTTGCACATGCAGAGATGGCATTGCTTTTGAAAATAAAATAACTATCAAAGCTATCTACATATGCGTTATTTATTTATTTATTTATGCTCTTTTTGCCTAGGGATGATGTATGTGACCAGACTTGGCTTTGACATTTTTCCATTGACGCTACCTCTGAGGCATATATCCTTCCACCCATTGTGTGCTCTGATCCTTGCTCATCAGTTTGATCTTTGGAATGAAACTGCCTCAACCTCCATGTTCCAGTCAGAGGTCCACTGGTCAGCACTGCAAATATATGAAGTATGGTAAAAACATCAATCAATAAAGTCATCTTGACAGGCAAGGTATAGATTTTAAAAACTTTATAACTTGCAAGCAGATTTTCCCATGTTTACATGTTAACATATCTTGATATTAGATTCCTTTTAAACATCTGGAGGGGAAAAAAAAAGAAAAAAACAAACCAAAACCCAAAACCATAACACAACAGTTTGTGCAGGTAAGCCAAAGTTACGGAAGGTTTTAATTCTAGGTATGCATATAAGTGCATTGATAATAGTAAATCTGCATGTCTCCTCGATACAGTTCCAAAATTCAGGTGAAATACATATGAATACACACACTTCAGAGAGAAAACAAAAGGAAAAATAATGCAGAAAACCAGCAGTTTGCTAGAAACAGTAATTGGATTTTAATAACAGTAGAACAAACAGTCCTACCTTACGGAATTCACTTCTCATTAAAATTTATTTATGACAGTATTTTAAAGGTCTCTTTCTTCATGGAAGTAACAGTTACAGGTACTTGATGTTTTCTCAATTTAGATTATGAGATGCCACAGGTGTACTCAGATGTTACTGGCACTGTTTGCTGTCCATTATCATTAGTTCCTTGCTTACAAGAAGATAAATGGGTATTGATTCCCTCCTGTAATTGTTCACAATGCTTAAAAATACGTTCCTGAAGTTCTTGCAGCACTTGCAGTATTATACACCAGCATAAAGAAATCTCTTCTTTTGCTATCAAGGTAATAAAGAAAAAACCTAGTCCAGAGTGATTCCATACGGAGTTATACTGTGAATAACTTTTCCATATGTATAAATCTCCCACCACATGTTGATAATAAAATAAAAAGCACAATTGAGTAACTGTGTTTAGAAACCTTCCTTTTACCTTCTACTCCCCAAATCAGTGATTATCCTGAAGATTTCCTACTGTGAAATTACCAGTCCTTTTGCTGTTAACACAGGAACACTTGCCAGAAAGCTCTAATTTTGAAGAACATAATCTCCTGGGACACCTAAAATGTGTTGCCAACTAGTCTAACAAAATCAGGAAGCATACCCTCATTATGTAAATATTGCTTAAAGGCAGTTAGTAGTTTTCTATATAAATTAGAGAAAAAGAGAATGAAAAAAAGAAAATTTCTCACATCCCCTCTCCGGATCCACTTTTTACTAACCTGACTGATCGTCCTTATCCTCAAAATCCACATGGAATGATTGTCCAAAGTTGACTATCTCTTTGCACGTGGAAGGTTTCCAAATGATCTGGAGGAGCCTCAGACATACACCTTTTTTTACATCCTTGGGTTTAGTAGGAGATTGATGGTCTCTGTTGGCAATAGGGTATAACTTGTGCCACTGGTCAGGTCCTAGATAAATAAATAAATAATCAAAAAGTTTCTTACCTCTAATTCTGTACCAATACTGAATTCATGACACTTTTCCTGTGAAACAGTTGTATACATAATACATATACTTGATATACTAATAATCCATGTAATTCTGAAGACTTTTTGTAAAGAAAAGAAATAAATATTTAATATATTTAAGTAAATCTGACCTATTAAAGATAGCTTTTACTATTGTTCCTTTGATAACTCCAGTTCAAATTTGCCACCTTTTCTTCTCCTTGCAAGGTACTGTCTTCTTTTAAAGAAACTACTGATGCTGATGAAAGCTAAGACAAGATCTATGCTTTGATTTTCTTCTGAATGTCTACCTTATGCCTGGGCTTTCATATGTCTGCTTAAATGGTAAAGACAGTAATATTTTCTAACTAACCTTTATTGATTTCATATGATTTCAGAATAGTATCAGTAACTGTGATAAGCGAAAGGATTGTAATAAGGAAACTGTGTGGCTTGCAATGTGTTTACTTTTTTATTCAATATGTATATTAACACAGATATGATTTAGAAGCCAAATTAAAATATACATCATTCTAACTGTTCAAATGTTATCCAAAGACACTAAATCTTCACAATCCAAAGGATAATTACAGTATAAAAGTGCAGACCACATAGAAAACAATGCATGCTCAGCCTTTTTGAGAATCCATGTCAATGATTAAAGACATCTATGTATGGATTTTATAATGTTAACTTTTACTATCTCTAATAAATATTTGGTCTCAATAGCTTTTAGTGGTGGAAAACAAATAACAATGTCCATGTGCAATAAAATGGTCACTATATTGTTAAGTAATTACATTAATATGAATAGCAATGCTTTCATTAATAAAAGGGGAAATTCAAGGCCTACTAAGTGCTACCAGCTTCAGATGTTTTAGAAATGATCTCAAGCCATTTTTGCAATGCTAGGAATCTTCAAGGCAATCTTCCTGGGGACTGATACCTGAATAAGTGCATGACTGAAGTCCAACTTCCATAGCAGGTCCTGTCTTGTAGCTCAAGAATACACACAATCACCTCTTTCTTTAGTAATAAAATACCATGCCCTGACTCTCTGTTTTAAAGCTAAATTCTGCTAATGCATATGGGATTTTGCCTAGCTTAAACTCTGTCTCAGACATACTGAAAAGCAGGATTGTATTTTTAGGACCATATGCCTGACAGTACTGCAGCATAGTTAAATAGTTGTGGTATTATCTATATTTGTAACCATTTGAACAGAGTGCATGGAGTAAAGATTTCTATATAAAATAAGGTTTATCACAGACTATGTAAGCATTGCTTTGTCATCCTGCGTTGCAAAAATGGAACCTGTTGACATTTTCCTGTTTTTCTTGCAGACTATTCTCAGTAATAGGAAACTACTGATATCTGCCTTTGCAGATGTATGCAGCTGACGTCAGGAATTTCAGATACCATTGTGCAAGTAATGGTATAACCTGTAAAATTTGTGGCATTGATGCCTAGGAGTATGACCGCTTTTAGGTGTGTCTCAGTTATAGGTGAATTGCAATATTCTGTTGATATTTTGTTGTTGTTCAGAAATTATATTTTATCAGAATAGAAAAGGCTCAAAGGAAAACTATCACCAACAGCTTCTGTTGAAAGAAAGACAGCTTCACCTGCTTAGCCCCTGATCAAATTACTAGTCAGATTACTAAGATGGTATCAGTGTTTCACTACATCATGAAATTTCTGCTTGAAGCAAAGGGTTCACAATTTATGGTCCTTGGGCAACCTTGCTGTGTAAACTATGTGATAAATGAAGATAGCAAAACTAGTAGATCAGATGGAAATATTAGGTTTGCTGGACTTGGCCTGCTGTTTACTTGCAGTTCTCCAGCTGGGAGTCTGAAGAGCTCAGTAACCAGGCTTGCAGTAAGCCTTCAGCACCCTGTTATGGCAAGGGGAACCGGGAGCCTGCCGCTGTCCTGGCTCGTATGGTCTGGAATGGCTGTGATAAATTACTGCCATGTTTAGACTTGAAACAAGGCTCGGGCTGGTTTCGGTGGTTGTATTTTGAGGCTTCAGAAACCAAACCTGGCACCAGACACTAAAAAGATTCAATCCACTTCTCTGGAGAACTGAGCCATTCCAGCAGGCAGCCCAGAAGCACCCAAAAATGCTACTTTCATCCCAGGCACTCAGGACTTACAGACTCTCTCCTGCTGCATGAGAAGATTTGGGATTTGAGTCCAAGTTACAAGGTTATTAGGGACATGTAAGCCTCCCAGCCTCCTGCCTATCCCTTAGGACAGTTAGGAGTCCTGGAGGGACAGGTAGGCCTGGTACATTGGGAGAAATATATTCATGGCTCAAAAGTTTTTCACTTTAAGGATCAGAACTTTTTCAAAAGTATTTGTGGGTGGATTTAGCAGGCATCAGTAAAATTTATAAATTCTTTAAAGAACTGTTTTGAAACAGATTGTGTTTCTTGAAGAAGATAAATCCTGACTTTTGACCAGACCTGATGTCAATTATCATCATTGCTTTGGAATAATGTAGGATAAATTCCTTCACTCCTATGAGAGCCAGAGCACCAAATCCTCTGCAGTTGTTCACACTCACAGCAGACTGAAAGAGCCAGAGACCCCTCAATTCTTTGTCTGCTTAGTCATCTGTAGGCAGTGTTGGTCATTGTGAGTTATACAGACAATATCAGATATTCTGTCAGGTGTCAAGAACTATTGGTTGGACCACTAAAAAATCCCAAGTGACTAGTTAGGAGTAATCCAGAGAGATCTGAAATTGTGTTTATAGTTTGAGTGAAACAGAAGGTGCATTCCAGCATGATATGGGGACAACATAATATAAAGAAATTCAGTGACAAATAATACAGAAGAGAGGGACAAGATAATTTTGAATGTTCTAACCAAGAAGGGAGTGAAATTTTAGGAATAATAGCCAAAGGAAATATAAACTTTAACTTGTTATACAGATGCAATGGGAATATAATGTGGAAAAATTTCCACAGTATCTTTTGCTTCATCAGATAATCAATGTCAATTTTCTGACTATGAAAGATATTCTTTCTGTGCGAGGTGAGCATGGCAGAGATTCAGTAAAATGATCTCTTGGAAGAGGAGCCAAGATTTCAGAGTTGTGACCTTTTTACTGTCTCATCAGCAAGGCTTTAAAGTAATTCTAGACCTCCGACTAAAATGCAGCAGACAGTGTGTGAGTGACACAACAACTGGTTTGCTTCTTGAAACCCAATACAACTGGCTTATGATTCCTCCTATTACACCCTTTTATACCTCCTGAAGTTTCAGCTTTTAACTATGACCTTATTACTGTTGCTAAAATACTTAACTGCTAGCATTTCTTAATTAAAGTATAAGGTGCTGGGTTTTAGAATTTTGAATTAAAACCTGTCAAAAAAAATTATTTTTTTTTTTCTGGGTGAACGCAGAGAGTAAGGTTAATGTTACGAAGGAGCTCTTGAGCTCATGAATGAAGAGCTCATGAATCAGGATTCAAAGGAAAAGAATCCAGTATTTCTTTGAACAGACTAACCACTTTTTTAATTCTTGAAGTTACAATGTGGCTGTATTATCAGCTTTTCCGAAGATGATAAAGAAATTAGGTTTGAATTTAAACAAAGTCCCAGGAACTAAGGTGATGCAACTTAGGAAGGGTGGCTCATATCTTATTGCTTGTTGCACAGCACTTGCCATTTGGGTGACTTCTTTCAGTTCCCTCTCCTACCTGGCAATATGATAGACAATATGATTTAAAGCACTTTGTAACTATTTCAGTGGCTCTCGTGCATTTCTACAGTGTACTTGTATTCCAGACATTGTCATGTTATACAAATGCACTAAAATTATCGGACTAAATTGCAAGACAGCAACCACAAAAAATGTGCCAGCAGCATAGGGCATAAGGCAGCTGAAGATCATGGATGGTAATCTGTATTCCATCAAGTGCTAACTACTGCCTCCACACTTTAGGCAATCCACACTCTGCAGGGAAAGTGTTAGCACCTTTCCAGGAAACTGGGATGAAAGAAATGTGATATCCTTGGCTAAACCTTCAAAGTATAAATAGAAGTGGATCCCTGGCTTTCCAGATGAGCATGGACAAAGTTTTGATGTCTAAAGCTCTGAACCTGTAAATCACTATAGATGTTTCTAACTTTCTGCATAGCAGAACATCTTATTTGCAAGTATGACATTAAAAGTGAACATAGTATAGGAACAAATGTAAAATAATCTTATTTTAAGGACACTGGACAGAAAAAAAAAAAGCAAAACACAAAAAGTTCTTGGAAATACATTAAATTACAAGAATGTTCAAAGGCAATTTTTCATTTTTTAAGTGTCAAATACTACATATCTTCATAATGAATCATGAAAAAATCCTACAAAAAGTTTAAAAAATATTTCACTAGGTCTCATAGTGATTCTTTTTAGTTGATGTTTACAAAGAATTAAGATACTGTTATTTGTAATGTTCTGGTCAAAATTCAATAAGCCATAATAGATAATGTTCCCTAATAGCTCTTGTAAATAAATTAGTGGAAGGAAATTGCAAAGTTATGAAAGTTTTAGACTGAACTAGAAGGAGGGTGCTTCCAAGCCATCAGGTATTGCTCGGTCTGAGGAAGCTCTGTCCATACTTATACAGACTATTGCTTAGGGTGCAAGAGGTAAGGATTTAGAAATAAAATAAGACATAGTAAATATTGGCCTGTGGCATATAGGTGTGAGATAATAGGACCCCAATGGCTGTGAAAGAGATACTGTCTCATGTTACCTTTCACCTGCTTCCTGCACCAGGCTTTGCTGGGAAAGATACAGCTTACTTTGTTTATGCACGGCTGGTTATTGTGGATTAGGATCAAATCTGGTCCCTCTTTGTGAGGAGAAAAGAGTCAGCTTAAGTTGGATTTTTATCTGCTACAGGCTACAGTTTTAGGCTTTTACCACTAACTAGGCATTTATTTTAAGTGGTGA